CGACGGCTACCCACCATTCCAGCGGGTGGCCGGCGGGCAGACCTCCGCCCGCCTGCTGCCCGCTGGAACAGTGTTCCTGGGCAGCGGGTAGGTGGCGGGTGTTCGTCCCCCCCACCTCCCCCCACTGGTACACAAGCAACTTTTCGGTCCCGGGATCACTCGTGGAACCCGAAACCATGTCCAGAAACATTTAAACACATAACGACAACACCATGTATTCAATTAAATCAAGAATCGTACCAAATACGTTCTAACATGACTCCTAAACATGCCAAGACTCCACATTAATCATATAACGGTTCAGGAGCATCCGGAACCACAAGAACATCAAGAAATCTATATGCGAAGTCCTAAATACAAGTCCTAGGCTAGACTCAACACCAGATCATGCACAATCCCACCCAAGTATACCAAGATCATCATAATACGAAATCCACGATATAAACCCTAAGGCTCTAGACATAATCAAAATACGAGATCATACATATAATCAACCACAATATTAAGAAGATCAAGATTTATCAAATAAACACAATATAAACCCTAGGCAAGGCTCTATCAAGACTCAATCACAGAATTACACATACGATTATCATGGGAGCTAATAAATAAGATATAGCAAGGAAAATAGGTTTTGTAAGACATGGGTTACCTCTTAGCCTTAATTAATCCTCCCTTGGCTATTAAGGTTCTTCTATAAGATTTCCATCCGATTGATCTCCCTAGGCTTGGCGGTGGGAAATCTCTTGGGAATAATTTCGTGTAATATAACTATGGGTGGTAAGGGTTCTAATTGCCCTCTAATCCCCTATTTATAGTGTTAGGAATCCTAATCAGAGTCTGAATAGTAAAGACCTACTTTTTATTCCCAATAGGTATATAGGTCTAGGATTCCTAATTAGAATCTGAGTAGTAAAAGCCCACTTTCTTTATTCCTAAAGACTTAAAGTCCTTATTAAAAACAAGGGTCTAAGGTCCTTCGTCGACCACATTAATTAATTAGGGATCCTGGCCAGATTACATCCTTTTTTAACTATTCTTTAACAGAATTAATTAAATAATTAATCTGGAATTAAAGGGCGTAACACGGGGTGTTATAGTAAAGGTTAGAACTTATATAAGGATGGAGAGGAGTAAAGGTTGGAACTTGGTATGAGGTTGGATCATGGACATGTTTGTTGTTGTTGTTGACTATTGTTGAGTCTTATTGTTACCTTGGTTTGCTGTTGAGTCTTAATTGTCGTATTGCCTTGTGGTCCTGGTTTGCATGCTTGCGTCTCTGTGTTGTCTTATAGTGTCAAGTTTGTTGGTGTGTCTTGAGTCTCATTCCTAGTTTTAAAGCTGGAGTTGTTTAGGACTATATATGTATTCACAAGTCTCGAAATAGTTGTCTTATATCTATACTTATTGTACTCAACGGGTGGGAGTGGGTTACTCAGCATTATTTGCTGACGGTTATTACACCATATGTTTTTTAGGTGATGGCCAGTAGCTTTGGAGTGCGCTAGTTGGATTCGCGGACTTAGCTTTAGTTAGCTCTAGTTTTAGTTCTTTGGCCTGTGAGCCTCGGATGTACTTGAATATTGGTTATGGATTATGCTTAGCTTAGTTAGTTGTAGCATGTGCATCTAGGTCCTCAAGCCTAGATGTGGCATAGCACCCTGATACTTATGTTGTAGTTTTCGCTCTGTTTTGGTATTAATGGTAGATTTGCCTTTATTGCATAAGCTTTAAATGTTTTAAAATAGTATGAAAATTAGGGGTGTTACAATAACTATCTTCTAAATACATTATGGAACTTGTGTGCTCGCAGTTAACTTAATATGTGCATGGCAGTTTTACAAACACTAATTATATGTGAGAGTGTGTGTGCTAGCATTTGTCTATAAATGTGCACAACAGTTTTGATGCCCGGTTTCATGTTATTTTTTAGGTCCTGTTTTTATTCTATGGTTCCTCCATTTTTTTGTTAGAATACATGTTCTATATATATTTTTCAGGGTGCGTGCTCGCAGTGCACTAAACCTGTGCTCGGTAGTTTTTTAAAGAGTTATTTTAATTTAGAGGGTGTGTGCTAGTAGGGGGTTGTGGCATCTATTATGTGGTTTAATCCTACCATAATTACTATCCTTTAATTTAGGATTCATATCAAATTCTAATTTTTTCCCGTAATTAGGCTTACGGGATATTGCCTTAAGTGCCCCCTCTAATCATTAATTAGGATTCTCAAATATTGTTATTACCTTAAATCTAATCGGTTAATCTACTCAAATCTTATGACCCATATTTGTGACACCCCGTAAATCCAAACTCTTATCAAGGATTAATTAGGGAACTAATCCTAGTCTCTTTGTTAATTTATTCCTAAAAATCCTCAAATTCAATAGTCAAGGGACTAGATTTTGACTAGTCACCTAAAGTCAAAGGATTGTACCTTGTGCTTCTTGAGTTGTGCCCTTGTTCCCTTGTCTTTCCAACTTTAGTAAGGGTAGGGATGTCTTTCTACCTAAGGTTTGTGGTTCAAGCTAACCTAGCAACACTTCTTCATTTCATTCACCCTACAATCTAAACACAAAATCTCTAACTTCTCTCTAAAAAAGTGTAGCTTCTTCTCCTAGCTAGGATTTGGATATCCCAAATCTTGCAAGTTGTCTTTCAAGATTCCTACTTTCTTCACATTGAGCATAGGGGAGGGTAAGATCCTTGGTCTTTTGGTGTTTTTAACTTCCTTTTAGGTATCTTTTTCTAAAGATAGAATCTTTGTTGTCTTTTGGTTTGTGTATGAAGTTGGTGTGGAAGAGGAGCTTTAGGAAAGGCTTTCTAAGGGTGATAAGAGGAAGTTATTAAGCTACAAAGGTAACCCATGCTTTACAAAACCTATTTTCTTACTTATATGATGATTCTTGGCTTCTACTTGTGATTCTTGTGTTGATTTGTGATATTTGATGCATTATCTTGTGGTGATGCATGTTTAGAGCTTGTTCTTAGGGTTCTTGAATGCCATTGCATGGCTATTTCTTGGGTTCAAGTCATATTGTTGTTTTGTGTGAGATTTTGGTTGTTTTGGACTTGAATTTGGACTTGTTGTTGAAAATCCCCGAAGGGATTATTTTGGTGTACAGGTCGTACCCGCGGGCGGAACGGTGGGCAGAGGGCCTACCCGCCGCCCCACCCGCGGGGAACAAGCTTCGTGGGTTGGTGTACCCGCGGGCGGAACCGCGGGTGGTTGTCCACCCGTGGCCCCACCCGCGGGAAACGTGGTTGATGTTGGGCGGGGATTTGTTCCCCGTGATTCTTTTGACTCGGTATCGATGTTTTTACATCCCGATGTTGTTTTATTGGGCTATTTGTGAGTCTTCTTGATGTTTCGTATGTCTAGAACGGTATGTTAGGAATCCATGTAGGATTTGGTGTCTTTTATCGTGCTAAGGGTCCGACTTTGTGAATTATTGGACTATTGTGAGTCTTGAATGTTCTATGGAACTACTTTTGGTTTACCCGTTTGATAAGCATGTTAGTTTGATGTTGAAATGCTAGTATGTGCGGTTTGTTCTTTCTTATTGTGATTGGCAACTTGTGTTGACCATCGTTTGGTGTCGAATTGTGATCCTTCGTTGTTGAGTATGGTTTCATATCTTAGTTGTGATCCATTGATTGATTCCTATGATGTGTACGTACGTAATCGTTGTACCCTTTGATTGATACTTGATTAAGGTTATTGTGGAACCTTAGTCTTCTTGGTAATGATGATGACTTGTGTGATTATGATTGAAATTGGTGGTGTGTTACCTGAGCTTGGCTCACATGTTGGAGGTTGTGTGAATGAAATTAATGGTACCCTCATGTACTGAGAGTTCGGCTGTGAATAGGAGAGTCGGAGGGGGGACAACGGTCCTCGGAGGCATAAGGTTGGACTCAGAAGTACAGGGTGGCACTAGGAGGTAATGGTTGGAACCGAAATAAGGTCGGGGATAGGCATAAGGTTGGAACAGGGCATAAGGTTGGAATTATGATACTTGTGACATTTAGTTGTCACTGTGGCATGTAGTTGCCAATGTGTGAATGTGTATTCTTTGCTTAAGAGCATGACTTGATGTATTCTACTTTGTGATCAGTAGAATGCATCTTGAGTTGTATCGTCTTTCATATTTCTTGTCGTGTTGTTGTTGTAAGGATGGTGATTCCTTTTCCTTTTGAGAATGTTTAATGAGTCATTGAAGTTGACTTCTCCCTATGGCTTTTGAAGTGATATATACTGTATTCAGTTTCAAAATGGTTTTGATTTACACTTATCTATATATGCTATTTAACGCGTATTGATGGGTTACCAGCAATATTCGATGACCGGGTGTTATCCCCATGTTATGTTTTTCCTTGTTCTACAGGTTTTGAATAGATGCCCGAGAGCGCTAGACTTGGAGCGATAGATAGCTTAGTCACCTTGTCTAGACGTTGTGTTTTGATAACCTGTGAGCCTTTTGAGCGGCCTGTGTGCCCTGACTCTTTAAGACTTGTTTATACTGTTTAGTTTTTCCGCCTGTGCATCTTTAGTATTTTAAGATGTGGCATAATACTCCCGTTTAGACTTGCTTCCGCTTAATGTTTAATGAATGATTAGATTGTTTATCTCTTGCCTTTTAAGTTTTTAAGATATGATAAAATTGGGGGTGTTACAATATTTGTCCACACGATTGTATTTTAAAGATATTTACATGTGAATGAAACACTAAAAGATAAAGTGGATAAGTGTACGCGAATAACATAGAAATAGGAAAGAGTGAAAAATGGCCACATATTAAAATAAATATTTATAACAATCCCCAAATTTTTCAATAATAAAATGAACTTCATCATAAAATAAAGATCAGTGACACGAAATACACACACTTTACACAATTAATTAACATAATTATAATAACTAGGTGATATCATATATGATCACTTATTGCTTATATGTCAAGCCAAATTAAAGCTGATAAAATATACTATGGAGTATATATTTATTTGCCATTGCCACCGCTACCGCTACCGCTACCACCATTGGCGCCGCCACCGGCAACTCCCCATGCACCACCGCTAGCACCGCTACTACCTCCCCCACTAGCTCCGGAACCAAGCCCACCACCACCACTTAAACTGAATCCCATAATTGTACCGCCGCCAAGGACGTTGCCACCGCCTGCGACTCCGCCACCTCCAATGCCAGACAGGGCACCACCAAGTCCTCCACCCCCGTCGAGGATGCCACCATTCTGCGAGCCCCCGAGAATGGTATCAAGTCCTCCACCCCCGCCTACACCGTTGGAAGCACCGCCGCCACCGCCGGCAAGCAAAACTCTTCCCAGACGACGAGGCTGATACCAATCTGCTAAAACAACAACGTTAGTCAATAAAATGAGGAAAACAAGAAGCTTAGTGGAATGGGCGATTAATCCCATTATGACTTTGGGGGAAAGTTGAGGATTATTGCTTGAAAGGATAAGCTGAATGGTGCATGACAGTTCCCTTTCCTGCTCTATTTATAGCAACAGAGGATTATAAAAACAAAAAAACCAAAAAAAAACAAAAAAACAAAAAAAAAAAAAAACAAAAAAAAAAAAAAAAAAACAAAACAAAACAAAACAAAATTAGTCTTACATTAATTGCTACCATTTATTACATGTCAACTTTGATTATTTATTTGTATAGTTTCCAGCAAAAATAAAAAATAAAAAATATGGCAATCTTGGGATGTTTGTTTATTAATCATTGCTAGAATGTTATACACTACTTTTTATTAGATGTCAACTTTGATTATTTATTTGTATAGTTTCAAGCAAAAATAAAAAAATAAAAAATATTGCAATCTTGGTATGTTTGTTTATTAATCATTGCTAGAATGTTATACAAGTGGTATTTCATTTATACTTTCTCAGCTTGTTGAAGCACAAAGAGTCACCATCGCCTCCACTGAGGATCGATCTCATGACCTCCCATATAGGAGAGTCACTACATGTCATCTGAGCATAAGGTGCTTGGCACCATAAATAAAAACAATTTATTTGAGAGAAAATTATAATTTTTAATCTTTTATTTCGCATAAAGGTGTAAATTTAGTCTCTTAATTATTTATTACTCAAAAAAATTAATTTATAAAATTTTAACTTATTTACATTATTAATCAGAGAAAAAGAATAAAAACAGTAAATTATAGTGTAGATAGCTTGTCAGAGGTAAATTATTATGTGAACCTGGATCCACCTTACAAGGTGGACTCAGGTTTAAAGATGCACAATTTACACCGTATATGTTCATAATTTAGTTTTTAAAAATTCACAATTTGTGATAACAATGTATTGTATTAACAATTTTTCAAAACTTAGAAACACACTTTATATTTTAGAAATTTAAAATTTTAATACTAAAAATACACAATTTAGAATAAGGGTACACTTTGCAAGGTAGACTTGGTCCATATACGGTATAAGTGTATAACAACTGCTAATCACAATGGTAGGCCATGAATATAAAAATCTGTGATGACATTTTGGGTATTTTAGGCAAGTAAATATATGTATTTATTATGTGCAATAGGTTGCACGTTTGTCATTGTTTATGCCTCAAAACTTGTGTACGAGTTGTCTTATATTAAATTATCATTTTGTTTATTTATAAACATGATTTGTTGATTATTCTCTAAATGATATTATCTACTATTTTATTAAGAAGAATTATAGACACTAGGAGATTTGGGAGTTAAAACTATCGAACTTCATCTATTTCATTTATGGAGTAGGATGCCTCTTCAAATGCCTACAAAAAAAATATAATTAATCAAGTTAGTAAACATGTTAATTGATAAATTATAATTTAACAATACATATAGTTCTATTTAAATTACTTACCCCATCTAAACAATCATCCATAGAATGCTTAGGAACAATATCGTACATGTATCGCAGTACATAGTATTCACATTCAACGTCTCCTGGTAGTTGTGGACAAACGCACGCGCGCGCACACGCACACACACACATACATATATATATATATATATATATATATATATATATATATATATATATATATATATATATATATATTCATGTTAATATCATATTAAAATAATAACTAAATTAATATCATACTAAAACTTTAACTTTAACTTTATACTTTGCATTTCTTCCTAGCAATAAGCTCCTCGTCCATCAGGAACAGATAAAAATGCCCTATATTAATAATAAACATTTATACCAATTTATAAATAACATAATAACATTTAATATACAAATATTACTGTTTTCAAAAAAAAAAATACATATATTACTAATAAGGTTTTTACCTACATATTCACAAAAGCTTTCACATCAATAGTGCGCTCACATTTCAAAGGATTAAATACATGCATCGTTTGTGAACGTGTGTAAATAACGATCAATAACCAATGATTACTACAATTACAAAACATATATATATATATATATATATATATATATATATATATATATATATATATATATATATATATTAAAATTCTAATATCAAACACTTCAAATAAAGTTATGAAGTTATATAAATTAGTAAGTAAAAGACTTACTCTTGGTGATACGGTGTCAATATGAATTGTTGATCTTTGTGTTCGTCCATGACATGATTGAGATATGATGTAACGGCAAGACAATTTATGTTGATCATATTCGTTGAAATTTGTGTTTGACACGCATACCTAATAGATGCCACTCCAAACTGCTTACAGAACTTATTCAAAAACCTGAAAAATAACAAATAAGAAATTTCAATAAACATTAAAAAACAAATGTATTTAAAACACATGAACAATTTGAAACTTACAACATAAACACTTCTATAATCGAGACATCGAGCCAATTCTTTGTTAACAAATCCTGTATATCCTCCATCATCACATAAACATCCTTCACGTGTGCATGATGGAAGACTGACTGATCTATATCCAAATCAATGTACTATTTTTCAACAAGAAATGATGTCAACATTTCGGCAAGCCGCTTGCTGTATTTCCCCAAAACCATAATGACATTTTCACCAACAATTGGGGGTCGTTTTACTGCAGTAGTAGACAACTCAACACTTTGATCTCTAATTTGCTTATTTTGTCTTGGTGAGCTTATTTTTATTAGCAATATTATTATTATATGTTACATCTTTGACTAGTATTTGTTGTAGGTTAGTTCTTTATGGCTTTCTTGATAGATAGGATTAGTTTACGCTGATTGTTTATAGTCTATAGTATTGTAATCTCTATTCTATTGAAATTGAACTGTTAACGTTTATCTCATCTGGTATCAGATAGTCCAGGTCGTTTCTCTCTCCTCTCTCCCCACAAACGCCGATTACGATCCTCCTCCCCTCTCCTAAACACCGACAGACCACCTTCGGGAAATCCTAGCTATGTCAACCAATTCATCCGAATGGACTGTCACCGCCGGCGGTGCATCTCCTCCAGCCACCACCCAAAATCCACTATCAAGTGCTCACCATTTCGTTTCAATAAAGCTTATCGGAACTTTCTTTTTTGACGAACCCAGTTGGTGCTATTCCTCCGTAGTCAGGAGCTCCTCGCCTATGTCGACGGTGGGACGCCATGCCCACCGCCAACTATCGCACCTGTTCCGGCCTCTGGCGACTCCGTCTCTGACGCAACCATCACGGCATTTAGCGTACAGAGCCTGGATTAAGCAGGATCAATCCATATTATCTCTGCTCATATCGTCACTTTCCGATGAAGTGATGCATCTGGCCGTCGGGAGAACCACGTCCAAAGAGGTCTGGGAGTCCACCGGGGCAGCGCTGGGCAGTTCCTCGCGAGCTTGGTGCCTGAGCCTTCTCGACTAATTCCCTTCTCTCCGGCAGGGCAACAGCAGTGCGATAGAATACTTAGGCCGTGCTCAATTGTTGGTGGAAGATCTTGCGCATGCTGGCCGCCCTATTTCGCTCGATGAACAAAATCTGTTCGTGTTCCGCAGTTTGTGTCCAGAATGTCGCGCCATGGCTTTTTCCCTCACGGCGACAGGTACACCCGTAACGATTCCTCATATCTCTGATTATCTGCAAGCGCAGGAGTTTATACACACTAAGGACTTCCCTCCCGGATCTGATGGCGGACTGTGGCTGCTCCGTCGGTGTTGTTTGTTAGTCGAGGCCGCCGCAATGGTGGTGATGGCGGACGAGGTGGTTCGGGTGGAAATGGCCGTGGCAACCAATGCCGTGGTAAGGGGCGGTCAAGGCCGCGTACGTGGAGGACATGGTGGTGCACCGCGTTGCCAGATGTGCCGCTCTCAATGACACACCACGATCTACTGCTACAAGCAAATTTGGTGGTCTCCGACGATGACTCGGCGGCAGCAAACTCAACGGCGGGATGGTTTTCGGACACCGGGGCGTCGGCCCATGCCACCCCAGATGTATCCATGATGTCACAATCGGATGAGTACAACGATAGTGACGTCATCCATGTTGATAATGGCGTAGGTTCAATAATTTCGCGCGTTGGTCATGACTCTATACCCTCTGGGTCAAAATTGTTACATTTATCTAATGTCCTATATGTCCCAAAGTTATCAGTTCCTTTATTGGGTGTTTACCGGCTTACGAACAAAAATAATGTGGTTTTTGAATTTCACAAAGATTGTTTCATTGTGAAGGATTCAATCACTAGGGCGATGCTGCTTAGAGGTTCCACATCGGGCGGCTTATACAGGCTCCCGGTCTCTAAGTCTCATTTTGCATATCTCGCTTCCCGTGCAACTCCGCATGCCCATGTTCAAAACTGCGCCTTACAGTCGTGTCCTGTTGCACCAAATAAAGTCAAGTCGTTGGGGTCGTGCACTTCTTGTCATCTCGGCAAAGCTTCTAGATTTTCATTCGATAGGGTTTCCTATTCAAGTAAAAATGTATTAGATTTATTATATACCGACATCTGGGGCTTGGCTCCTGTAATCTCTACTAGTGGATTTAGATACTTTCTGCTATTTGTAGATGATTACTCGCGTTTCTGCTGGTTTTATCCCTTACGGGTAAAATCTGACATATATAAAACTTTTGAGTCGTTCCGTGTCATGGTAGAATGCCAATTTTCGCGTTCTATCAAGTCTATTCAATCCGATCTAGGTGGGGAATACCGCAAGCTATATCACACCTTTACTAAACTTGGTATAACTCACCGTCAGTCATGTGCGTACACGCACGAACAAAATGGCAGAGTAGAGCGCAAAATCCGGCATATCGTTGAAACCGGGTTAGCCCTATTAGCCGAAGGTTCAGTTCCCCAACAATATTGGAAGTTTGCTTTTTAAACGGCTACCTGCCTAATCAACTATTTACCCACATCAGTCATGCAGTTTGAGAGCCCATACACACGCTTACATAAAACTCCACCACCATACACTTTACTCCGAGTCTTCGGGTGCCCATGTTACCT